TCAGCGGCGTCCTCTGGAAACCGGCCTGAACACAATCTGAGGGCCACGAGAGGAAATCACATTAAAACGAAGCAATGTGATGGATTCTATGTCCACTGCATGATTGTCCCGTTGTTCTATATTTATGTGTGTGTGTGTGTTTCATCAACCATGCTAATAGATTGAGAGAGGTCACGGCAGCATGTGTCTGCGAGTGAGGACGATCTGCACCTGCCTTTAATAAAGACTTGGCGTTTGTTTCATTGTGCTTCTGAAGGCATTTCTCAAACTGTGTTGAATCTCAATTATCAGGTTAAATATTTAATCTAAACTCAGAATCATCTAAACAGATGACAGAGTTTTTCCTGAAGATGAGCAATCTGGAAGGTCGAGTTAGAGAAACGAGGTTGACCCTGGAAAGTGATTAGCGATGCAGGAATTCAAACTTGAACATTGCTGGTGAAACAGTAGAGGAGGCTGAGGTTTGGCCAGAGTCGGGTGGAAGCAGCTGATCTGCTGCGGCTGCCCTCCCTCAACGGAAGGGTCTAAAGATTTTCTGCTAAACCTGGTCCAAATCAAACAGGTAGAAAACAGTAAAAGGCTGGTTAGACTCCTACTGTACAACAGTTAGCTTAGCAAACAGCGAGAGTTGATGCTAACTGGATAGCATTCAAGAGATCAAGTACAGCAGTCGCTCACTCTTGAACCCAGCACAACACAGGCAGGATGTGACCTCATCAATCTGCATGCTTGAGATTCGAGTAGCGAAGCATCTAATCTGCTAATGCACCCGGAGACATGAGCAACATCCGAAGACAGCAGCGTCCTTCAAGGTTCAAATCCCTGCGGTGGTCACCTTCAAACCAGCGCTAAACAAACACTATAGCACACATGCCAGTTCTCCTGCTGTATACGAGGGGTTTATAAAATTGATCGTAAACTAGCGTCTGATTGGTCCATAGCAGCCATCTATTTCATAGGTCACTTACTTCGCCTTCTCCGACATCTACACTGTCATCTGTCACATCAGCCACATTTCTTTCATCTCTCTGTGGCCATCTCCTAACAGGAGGGCGTTGAAGGAGGGCAGTCACTGATCCTGGAGCAGCCTCTCCACACACGGCAGACCTGCCAACAAAGACCAAAACACACGGAGAGAGTTAGAGTCACGTCACTGGGTTGACATGTCAGGTTAGCCCTGCTCTGTTGGGACGTGTCCTACATCATAACAGCATGTCCTGTGTATATTACATGCCACAGCTAATCACGCCCTAATGTCCTCATTTCAAACTAATTTAAAACTCGTCAAGCAGGCACATGTAAAGTAGACTGATGGAAGAGAGAGAGCGAGCGAGCGAGCATAGTGAGAGTGTGTGTGAGAGAGAGAGAGATACCGTTATTCAGGTAAAACCTGAACCTAATTATTTTACAATTCATTTAGGATTCATTGATAATAGAACTCTCACCGCCATCACCTGCTGATCTCAGAAAGACACGACCAGAGATGGTAAGGAACGAATGACATCTACTTAAGTTACTGTAATTGAGTAGTTTTTGTGAGTAATTTGTAATTTTTTGGGAGTAGGTTATTTTACTTTTACTTAAGTACATTTCGTCTCGAGTAAAGAAATAAATGCGGGGGGAAAACAATCGGCGTTAACTGAAAGGAAATCGCGTGGACGGGCGTTCGCGGATTTCCCACTCGATTAGTCAACGTAGCCAGAGAACGTTGACTAATCATTGGATGACGGCTGGTGCCGAACAAAACATGGAGGTTGAGGATTGCCAAGCAGAGAGGTCCGTGGAGCAGAGGACTCAGAGAGAGAGAAGGAAATCATTGGCCATATCTCACTCACCTCTTTGTTTTCAAATGCAAACGAGGCAAAAACTTCATCATGCGATGCAAAATGTGCCTTCCCCGGCGGACAGAGCTGTCGCTGTCGAAGCTTAACTGTGCTTTAGTGGCTTGAATTTGCAGTACAACGATTCAAATGTATCATAGAATTCTCAACTTATAAAGTTAAAGTAAGTTACTTGTCATTGCGACACAGCACGCCACTGCACAAAATGAAATGTGACCTCTGCCCTTTAACCCATCACCAAAGTGAGCAGGGGGGGGGGCAGCAGTCCTTAACCACCAAGCCACCACTGTCCCTTATGCTACTTGTATTTGAAAAGTACATTAAAAACATTAAAAAGCAATTAGTTGCAGATTGGATGTATGACTGGTCCTTTTTTTTTGCACTCAGTAATTGAAAGTAACTTTTACTTAAACTAAACTTTAAATATAGTAAAAAAAAAAAAATTAACTTGCCTCTATTTTTAGATGTGTACTTTTACTTGAGTAGAATTTAAGCAAAGCAAAGATACTTTTACTTAACTACATTTTTTTCCCAGTACTTTTTCCACCTCTGCTAACGGAATATTACTTCTTTCGTTTTACCGTTTGTCGGGACAGTGGCGGTGGGGGGGGGGGGGGGGGGAATTTTT